CTGCCTTATTAAATTGGAACTTTAAGGATAGTTTTGCCTTGGTCTCTGATTTAATTCTGCATGATATTTGGAACGCTGACAGCTGGAAGGTTCACCTGGCTGGCCATAAACGACTGCAAGAAAACAACCAATGCTCAGAGAGCATTAAGGACCCCACAATTCAACCCTGAGCTACAAACATTCTCTTCTGTTGGCAGGTTAAGGAGGAAACCAGGATTAGCCACACAGGAGTTATTAGGTCAAAAGCCCAGATCACTGGTTGCCAGTTGTTAAGCAGGCAATCAGTGGCCCTGCCTACCAGATATTCCTCAATCAGGTTCCTTCTGGATCCATAAGATCCCTGGAACCTGTCGTTTTAATTGGCCCACAGAGTTCGCAGGTTAATCTCTTGCGGACCTGGAAGTGATCTGAAAACCACAAGGTGCCAGCTGATACACTTTCCATATCCATCGCTAAACAACTGGCCTGCGGCATCCAAAGTCTGATCAACTGGAGGCCAAATTGAGATTTCGCTGAGACTTAGCTTTCAGCTGCAAAAGGAAAAATATTTTTATCTATTTTTTAAAAAGTCATATATAATAAAGCACCTTACCTGCATTGTCCATAAGGTATGTTTTTCAGTAGGGCAGAGAGACAGGAGTACATGCTTGAAACAGATGCTATGCAGAATATGGCAATGACCATATACACTAGACAAGAAGAGAGAACAAGGAGGAGGACATGGTTAGTGTTGGGTCCCCAGCGGAGCTGGGGGCAGACACAGATAGTGAGGAGGTTGGGGACGAACATAGGCCAGTCCTGGAGTCTGGGGAAGGCTCTGATGAGGGCTCTGCGTCGGAGGCAGAGATGGGACTTGGGCTGTCTGACAGTTATCAGCTGCCTTTGGAGTTGGACATCAATGGGGCAGAAGAACAGCTGGAGCCTGTTCCCAGTGTGCGCGTGGGCAGAGCTGCCAGGAGAAGGGAACAGCTAAGGAACAAGGGTTGACTCAGGAGTAAAGCCACAGGTGGACGGTGAATGGCCCCTCCCATAGGGAATAAAGAGGAGCAAAAGGGGAGGGGAGTTTGCAGGAGGCAATTAGTTCAATTCATTAGGGTGAAGATCTGTTTCTGACTTCTTGCCAAGTATTGTCTGCTACAGCCTGGCGTTTGGAAGATATCGGCCTGGCAGATATCTCCAAGCCGGATAAAAGTCTGTAATTGTGAAACCTCTTGAAAGATTTTTGGCTGGGACTTTGCTGGAGAGGATTTCACTTTAAACTAAATAAAAGGGGTTTTATCCGCACGAGGAGTTGGCTTCGTGCTTTTGGGAAGCCTGGGTCAGAACAGTTACAAACAAACTGGCTAGAACCAACCAACTATCAATGGGGAATGGAGAAGAGAGATTCATATAAAAATGGATACAGGTAATCCTCACTTAGCAACCACCACTGGAACAACTCAAGTCATTAAGCGAAGCGTTAGCTAAGTAAAAGCACACCTCTTACTTCAGCTCTCCTTTTCTTTGCAGATCAAGCGAAGAATCATAAATTTGAGGATTGTTCGCAAAGTTAATTTTTCATCACCATCGTTAACTGCGAACAGTTGTCCAAGGCAGTCGCTAAATAAGGACTACCTATGCAGAGGTATATATTCTTCTTTTTGCTTTTTATCCATTTTCTTGAGGAAATGCCCTGTATCACATTCAGACTAGTGGTGGGATTCAGCCAGTCTGCACCTATTCGGGAGAACCGGTTGGTAACTTTCTAAGCAGTTGGGAGAACCGGTTGTTGGAAGAAATCTCCTTTTGTTTTTCCCCACTTTACAGGGCTAACCCTGTAAGGAAGGCAGGAAGGAGACATTCTGGTGTTGTTTCTAGCCTAATCTTTATTGCCCTGCTTACAGAAACTGCCTCTCCAGTTAACCGTTATTACCATTGTAACAACTGAGGCGAAGTGCCCATCGACCTGAGTGACATTGGCTTGGCCACGCCCACGTGGTCACATGGCCACCAAGCCCCACCTACCCAGCTGGTCATTAGGGCAGAGAATTGGTTGGTAAATTATTTGAATCCCACCACTGATTCAGACACAACATTTAGGCAAACCACACATTTCTCTCTCCGTGGCTTCTGGCCAACCTACAATAGGGGAATCATAATAATTACTGGCACACAAGGCTACAAGTGCCTAAAAAGTACTTGTAAAAATCACTTTGGGGTCATGAAAAATCTCTCTAAATTGCAGCAGGAGGATTTGCTTTCTTGAATGTCCATAATACTTTTGGCAGGCCAAGCTGTCACAGGAAATAACAGACCAAAATCCATTTCTGCAACACTTATTTTAAATTATCAAAGGCATTCAGATAATTCAGGGCCCTGTGGAGAGAGATTGAGCAACAAGTTTTCCCTCCCAATCCCAGGCTCAATAAATGCTCTTTTTTAATTTTACCGAGCCATTTGTAGAAGAAATACATCAAGACCAGCATAATGCAGCAGAAGGACACAAAGATGACCACACTCAGAGGGGTTAAAGTTAGAGTTTCTTCATCCGATAACGACTCGTTGCTCCCCGGGTTGGGGCCTCGTTTTAGCTTCTCACTGGGTGGACAAAAAAAGAAATTGCCACAGATGAGGACTTCTTTATCTGGGCAAATTTGCCCCGGTGCTCCTATAATTCTTGACAAAAAAATAATAATAATGCACACACACCCCCAGTTCTTCAAAGATAACATTTTTTTGATCTTTACTTCTTGCATATGTGTGAGCAGAGTGTGTACACTGCAGAGATACTCAAGGGATGGTGTGTGTTGTCACAATGCCTCTTCCAACATCTAGCTTTTGGGACCTCTCGTAGCAGATTTATTTATTATATTTATTTGCTGCCCATCTGTTTTGACCCGGCTCACACTTTTGAGTGTGAACTCAAAAAAGATTCCTTTATTAGGAGCGTGGCAGCCCCGGCATAAAGTTTTTCTCGCAGACTAACAAGTTCCTCCACCCGGAAGATGAATAGTTATCTGCCACATCTATTCATCTCTGCCCCCTGCCTTTGATCCCCAGAGCTAGGATGGGGCTTCGCTAGTAGTGGTGGTTCTTCCTTCTCAAGGACCGGCCCATAGATTTCCACTGCTCTCCTCTCCTCTGCGCATCTGCATGTCAGGCACTGGACCCAGCTGTTCCTCCTTTTCCTCATCAACCACCTCCAGACCTGGGGGCTCTTGACTCTCCATCTAAGGGCTGACGGACGGCCCAGGCTCTGCCTCTGTCTCTCTCTGACAGCTCCACTCCCTCTTCTCCCTTGAAGCTCCCAGGTTCCCCTGATGCTGACCCCGATTCCCACACTCCTCCTCCTCTGATTTGGCTGCTGGAGGGGCTGGCGGACGACAGGCCACAACGCCATCTCATATTGAAACCACTCTGGGCGATACCCATACTTCCATTGTTCCATTTACTTAAAGAACTGAAGCAGGAATTTGCACGGTGAATGGAAACCCAACAAATGCAACTCTGTGTTAACCGTCAGCTTTAGAAATTTGTTTTTTTGTATTACGATAAAAAAAATTAAACTCACAGCTCTGCCCTGCCACTCCAGTAGCCTCCAACAGACACACAGAACATCGCAATTAGGAAAATGATCACGATACTATAGTCAAAGAGCGGTTCAGGGGGTGCATATAATCCCACATTAACATTTCTTCCAAGAGTCTAAAAATTAGAAACACATCAGTTAGACATGTTGGTTGAATCTTAGACATTGTTCCCACCCCCCTCTCATTTGACTAACCCATTCATAGCCACTTTAACTTTTGTTGGGCAATCAGTTTATGGCCATTTAGAATCAGCGAATCCAGTGGACAGGTATGATTTTTTAAAAATTAACTCTGCAAGCTTTACGAAGAAGTCATGGAAAAAAGCAGCAGAAAGAAAAGGGCTAAATATAAGATGGTTCTCAGCTACAAATAAAACATTGGCTCTTTAATAATATACATAGAAACGTTTGGAAGTAAAAGTTTAGAAGTTTATAAATGGGCCTTGCCACCGGCAAGACTGGTGAAGATGTTTAAAGACAAATCAGCTAAATTTATTATTTATTTATTATTTATTTATTT